CAATTCGGTCCTATTGTTTGAGTACTGAAGCGGAGATGTTAGCCCTCAGGCGAGGGGAACATGGGAGCTTCGAAGTAAGAGCCGGTATCCTTCCAGCTTAACCGCAGATTCAGTAACCAAGCATAAGATTAGTCAATGTTATTTATGTCTGGATCAAAGGGTAAAAAATATATATGCTCCTATTTGACATAATACAATTTGAACTGATTCACTTTTTCCATTCACTATAATTTCTTGACAAGGAGAAGGATGATTTCTTATAGATTGAATATCACATTAGAAACTTTATTAGTATAATTAGTTATTTAAGAGTTATTAAAATTACATATTTATTTCAATTGTCTATTAGTGACAGATAAGCATGAATTATATTATTGTGATTAAGTCTTGATTTTCTAAAATCTTAGTTCGTAGTTTTAATATTACTCAATGTGGGATCGATATCTAGGACTCCATTAGAGCCCTATATTACTTGAGCGATACATATACTTGTGTTGATAAGTGTGACTTTACCATTATTGAATATTTAATATATACATCTTTATCGAATCTATAACCGTTATTAAGTTTTTGATGTCATTGCTGAGGAATGAAATCTTCTAGCAGCAATATTAAATACTTGTATTTTTAAGCATATATAAAGTCGCTGTCAGCCATAAATCTCAATGGTCTGTAATTTTCCTTAGAAATATGGTTACAACCGTACTTAAGAAAGATGCTTGAAAATGTACTAGTTGTTTCCTTTAAATTTATTATCTACCTGGTTGGGGTGTTTTCCACATAAGCTTATAAAACAACCTAAGTGTCAAACCTTGAAAGGATTATCTTCCTAATACAGTTAAGGAAGAACACTAATATGGTGAAGGGTGCTGAGGAAGCATTATTTTTAAAGCTGCTCCCTTGTCTAGTAGTTCTTGAAGAATTAATACCTGAATGAAATGTGAGATGACAACCTCACCACAATCGTGCTTGAAAGTTAACACGAATGACCTTTCGAGACTACTACAATCATGCTCGAGTTGTTAACATTAAAAAACTTTTGAGATTGTAGTGAATGTTGCCCATTACATTGAAGAACACTTCAAAGAAAATCTTCAAGAGGTACAAAAAAGGTTTCTTCACTAGTTAGATGATGTATATCATTGGGAGACAAAGTATGGGCTCATCTTCTCAAAATTGAAGATATTGTTAAACTACACTTTGTTTCCCATAGAAGACTCCGAACAGATGTGTTGCTACACTGTATACTGGATGATGTATTACTCTATTGGGTGATTAATTTTTTTGCAACGTATGTTGGGATTTCACTATTCGCGTTATGACTCCACAAGTAACTTCACTGCGAGGAGTAAGTAGTGGGCAATGATAGTGGCTGACAAGTAACAGTCAGATTGGTCGGAGGGGTCAACTAGGCTAGCTAGAGAAGGCAGCTATAGATGTTGGAGGAGACAGTGGCCTGAGTTGATAAGAAATGATGGTTAGGTTTGACCAACAACATTGACCAAAGTTGGTGGTGATAGCATTGGCTAGAGTTGGCGATGTTGGCTACTAGAGTGGGTGGTATTCGCCTGAAATACAGTGTAGAAGCGATGCTAGATCTTACCCCTTCTTCAAGCTTCCATCTTCTGCTGGCTCAACGTCTATGCTCCCTTTCAAGAGAAGAGGTAAGTCTCTAATTTTAGAGGCTAGATTACAAATAAGGAAAGAATCCCAACAGCTCCATTGGACGACCCAAAGAAGTTCCTTAGATCGAATGATGTTCGGTGGACATTTAAGTCTCTTAATGATGTCCAAATTGAGTGATATTGAGCTTATTGGATTTATCTTATCAAGATACTCGATTTGACTACACACATGCGAGATTCAGAATCTGCTTGACCTTCGAAATATGTTTTGAAAACTTCTGAAAGTGGTTTGACTGTTTTTGTTGGTTTCATTTGACTTGAATTGAACCAAATTTGATTCGTTGGGTTCGTCTTGTTGAGCAGGTTTGTTTAACTATAATTTCAGTGAAATCAAAATTCTGTATAATTTTTAATCAAAGTTTGAAATTTTTTTATTTAAAATATTACCACGAGTTCATACAATGTCTTAAAATTCATGCCAACTGATAAAAATTTATTGATGGCAAATCAAAGCTTACTTCTTATTAGAAACCTAAAATTCTAATCTTAAAAATCTCTTCACTAAAAATTAACTAAAGCTTTAACTTGCTTTTAGAATAATGTCCTTTAAAATAAACATAAGTTTTAATTGAAAAGCTTGTATTCTAAAATTATACCCCATGACTTCTCCGTCAAATTCCAAGTCAACGCATGTTATGACTTGACTAGATTATAAAATAAAATCAAAATTCCTTCAATAAAGTTAAAAATTTTCTGTATTAAAATTTTTCCGAAATATGTCGAAACAGGATAAAAAAAAAAAAATCCAAACCATGGGATCTGAGCGCTCATTCTAAAAGAGACTAACAAGTGGTTTTTTGGGAATTAAAACAAACCTTTCTTGCTTTGGTGAACAGATAGATGGCTCTTCCCTTGCTGGTACTCCTGTTCCTTCTCTCGCTGCCCCTCCATCCCCATCGCTCTTACGCCGCCGATTCCCTCTCCGGAAACCAGTCTCTCTCCGGCGACCAAAAGATCACATCCAAAGGAGGTAAATTTGTTCTCGGTTTCTTCCCTTTAGGAAACTCCCCTAAAAGATATTACATAGGCATCTGGTACAACACCAACACGGTCTCCAAACTCACCCCCGTCTGGGTTGCGAACAGAGACACCCCTGTCTTTGATTTCTCCTTATCCGAGCTCAAACTCTCCGAAGATGGCAACCTGGTCCTCCTCAACCAGTCAAAATCCCAACTTTGGTCAACAGGGACTAAAATCACCTCAAATACCACCATAGCCGTGCTCCTCGATTCCGGGAATTTGGTTCTCCAAGATGGCTCCGATGCCTCCCGTGTCCTATGGCAGAGTTTTGATCATCCCACAGACACCTGGCTTCCCGGCGGCAAGCTTGGACTCAACAAGCTCAGCGGTGAGAATCAGCACCTGACAGCTTGGAGGAATGCTGAGGACCCTGCTCACGGATTCTTCTACCTTGAAATCGACCCTAGCGGGAGCAGTCAATACTTCATCCTGTGGAATGGCACCAAAACTTACTGGTCTAGTGGTGTTTGGAATGACAAAATCTTTAGTCGTGTACCGGAAATGACTTCTAATTATGTTTATAATTTTCAGTATGTAAACAATGCTTCTGCGAATTACTTCACTTATACTGTTAATACTGATGATGTAATATCAAGGTTCATCATGGATTACTCGGGGCAGATCAAGCAGTGGACTTGGCTACCTGCTGCTCAGAACTGGATATTGTTTTGGTCCCAACCGAGAGCACAGTGCGAGGTGTATGCGCTTTGTGGCTCTTTCGGCAGCTGCAATGAGAAAAAGTTGCCATTTTGTGGTTGCGTTAAGGGTTTCAGGGAGAGGTCACCCGAGGAGTGGGACTTAGGCGATCAGAGTGGGGGTTGTGTGAGGAATACTCCATTGCAATGCGGAGGAAGTAGTTCTGTAGGAATGGAGAAGGATAAGTTTTATCAGATGGACAGAGTGAGGTTGCCTACTAATCCTGAGAGTGCTGAGGCCGGGAGTAGTTCAGAGTGTGAGTCAGCTTGTTTGAATAATTGTTCATGCACTGCTTATTCCTATAGTTCTAAATGCTCTTTGTGGTTTAGAAATTTACTAAACATCCAAGAAGAGTATGATGGAGCCGATCAATCAACTTTTTTCCTCCGTCTAGCCGCATCCGAGCTTCCTGGTTCTTCGAGCAAGAAAGGAGGAATTATTGGTGCAGCTGTTGGTGGTGTCATGGGATTATTGGCACTGTTGGCTATTATTTGGCTGATAATTTGGAGACAACATAGGAGGAGAATAATTGGTGCGGCAAAATCTGCTGCAGATGGCATTTTGGTGGCATTCAGATACAGCGATTTGCAACGCGTGACTGGGAATTTCTCAGACAAACTTGGAAGTGGAGGGTTTGGATCAGTGTATAAAGGGGTCCTACCTGATTCAAGTTTCATTGCTGTGAAGAAGCTAACGGATCTTAGCCAAGGGGAGAAGCAGTTTCGGGCTGAGGTGAGCACGATTGGAAAAATCCAACAGATCAACCTGATTCGTCTCCTTGGTTTTTGTGCTGATCAAAGCAATAAGTGTTTGGTCTATGAGTTCATGCCCAATAGTTCTCTTGATGTTCAATTATTTCATGGCAGTAAAACTGATTTAGACTGGGGCAGAAGGTATCTTATTGCTCTCGGAACTGCTAGAGGCCTGGTTTATCTGCATGAGAAGTGTAGGGACTGTATCATACATTGTGATATAAAGCCAGAGAACATACTCTTGGATGCTTCTTTTATTCCAAAAGTTGCGGACTTTGGCCTATCAAAACTTGTAGGAAGGGACCTTAGTCGTGTTTTGACTACAATGAGAGGAACGAGAGGATATCTTGCTCCGGAGTGGATCTCCGGTGTTGCTATCACTGCAAAAGCAGATGTTTATAGCTACGGAATGATGCTTTTTGAAATTATATCTGGTAAGAGAAACACAGACCATTGGGTGGATAATAAAGCGGGGTTCTTTCCTGCTTCTGCCATGAAAAACCTGTTGGCTGGGGATATTCTTAGTTTGTTGGATCCAAGGTTGGAGGGCGATGCGGAGATTGCAGAGGTGGAGAGAGCTTGTAAAGTTGCTTATTGGTGCATTCAGGATGAAGAGATGTATAGGCCGACCATGGGACAGGTGTTACAGATGCTTGAGGGAATGGTGGAGATTAGCATGCCTCCAGTTCCAAAATCTCTTCAGGTATATTCTGGGCAACCGGAACGAATCGTATTCTTCTCAGATTCAATACTTGATCAAAGCGATCAAACGATGGGTACATTTTTCTCAAGTCAACTAGGGAGTTCAAGTTCAACAAATTTGAAGGAGTAAGCTAAGAGAAACCATTAGGACTACATCTTGATTAGTTTTCAGAATTATAGTGTTACAAATATAAGCATCTACAGTTCAGCTCTCCAAGTTGCCTTGGAGTTTGGCGTAATGCCATATATCTCCTTATTGTTTACGTCTCATTGTTTAATGCATAATTGTCTAAAATACTTTTTAGTAAATGTCTTGTGTCTAAACGTTAAAAAAAAATGATTTTGTTAGCTATATGTATGTTATGAGGTTAGGAAGAGGCATTTTAAATGTCATTTCTTTATTGATCTTCAATTCTGTAAAAAATCTTGACATCATTATATACTATATTTTACCAGCAGAATATCAGAAACACCTATATTTTTCTTAGTTTTCTTTCTCCATGCCAACTAGCTTTTTTTAGTGTTTCTCATAAATCCTGCTGCTTAATCTGTGCTGGGATTTATTTACTGGAAGTATTGATTTTGTCTATACGCCCTCGCACGATATAATTCGTAATAAGGGGAATTTAAATGAACTATGTAGAAACATTTTTGGAACTGCATTCGTTAAAAGCTATCTCATCTCCTGAGTACACCTATATCTCATCGTTCATGTTCAAGTCACTATGTTTAATCATCTCTCGTCTAAACACCGAAAGTCTGGTGACATCCTTCTATGCTAGTATTGAGTCATCTTTTTTTTTCATTCTTTAATTCTGAATTTCTGTTTCCTTTAGTTGGATGCTAAGCTGCATTAACTTATCATTTTATTACATAGCTTTTATGTTCGCCATAGAATTAATAAAGGGAGGAAAAAAAATTTTGGAGGGCTATTTAGTTGCATGTATTAGAAGTTAATGAAATGTACGGTCTAGAAATAATCTAGAAATAATAATAATGCTACTTAACATGAACAGTCTCGGGTTTCTCTATATTTACATGGACTGACTTTGGAGTAGGGGTTTTCTTTTGAATGGGAGATATGAAAGCTAGTAATTCTTCTATTTTCTTCTCTAACTTCTCAATGTGGTCATCCCATTGCTTTAACTCGTCTAGTAGAAGTTGAGTTGTAGTAAGCTATGGAATCTCTTCAACTACGACTTGATGTTGTACTGGTGTTTGGTTTCGATTCGTTGGAATGGCATTCACAATCTCCTCCAATCTTTCAATAATTTCATCTCCCTGCCTTAGTTGATTTAGAAGTTGTCAGGCTGCGTCTGGAATAACAGATTCTTCAACCATGACATCTTGTACATCAGTACATTCTTCTTGTCAAGCTGCCTTAGTTGATTTAGAAGTTGTCAGGCTGCGTCTGGCATAACACATTCTTCAACTATAACATCTTGTATATCAGTACATTCTTCTTGTCGTTCTCTTAACGAAGATCTAGTTTCAACTATCATGACACTGACAGTTCCTTCCAAACCCTCCAAATTTTCATCTTCTTCTTTCAACTGTCTGAGGTTAAATTCCAGTTCATTCAAGTTCTCATTGATAGGTCAACAAATAACATTCTTCAAATCAACATGAATATACTTGGGTTATGTGTCGATATTCATCTCATCAACTTCCTTTGCAATGCTCTCAGGTTCAGACTCTTCAATTTCTTGAAGTCGTGACACTTTTCTTGAAAGATGTGAGGTACTATCTTTGTCTCTAAGAGGAGATGACACTCCAACCTTAGGGTGTAACTTTATCAGTAACATGGAAGATTTCTTCTCAATCTCGGTACTTGGAGTTTCTTGGAAAGGTTGTGGGATACACGGGGGAGTTTCAGCTGATAAACATCATACTTCCTAGTTTTTGGAAGATGATGAGGAATATAAGACAATGCTTCTGGTGATAAATGATGAACATAAACCCATCTTCATAAATGTTTATGTTCTTTTCTCGGTGATCTTTGATATTCCAACCTTTCCTCTCCTGTCTTTTCAGTAATTAGGTCCTACTGATTTCAAAACTTCCACGATGGTACATTTTTTCTTTTTTGTCATTTTCTTATGTATTTGATATAGACCAAAATGATGGAACTCTTTGTTCCTTTGTCAAGGGATTAAAGTTTTACAGGGGGTAGAGGTGATCTGTTATCCCATGCATGTTTTCCTCTTCCCATGCAGCATAAAGTGTGTGAAACATACTTCCATTCAAAAGAGGAGAGGTTTTAGTATGTCAAACCTAACTTCTAGTATCTCATATGAATTCGTCCATACCTATTCTTTTGTTGGGTTTTAGTCAGCACAGCAACAATCCTAGAAGATGAGCCAGCTTCAAACAAAGATGAGATATTATAAGTTTCACCCTGTACTTCAACTGGTTTATCATTAGCTTCTTTAATTGGATCAAAAATTTCTAGGATTTTAGAAATTTCGATTCTCTTAGGATGACCTTGAATTTAAAAAATAACAGCGACAACAGCGGTCTCAACAGAAGTTTTTCAACAGCTTTCTTCTTTAATGGCATGAAATTTTCTTCAGATATAAAATTAAATTCCATCAGAGGTATTTTCTCATCAACTAATTGCGGGTCTACCATGAAAATGTAAGATCACCACAAGTCATCTTGAAGAAATCAAATCTCGTTCCAAATTTGATGGTTTCCCATCCCTGAGATGAATTGGACTAAGTGCTAAATTGCAGTATTGTTCCAAAGGAGAA